CCCCCTGCTTCTTTTGGTCCTCGTAGAAAGGTCAGAAACTACTAGTAGCACCCGGCCTTCTAGTGGAACCGACGGTAAAAATTACCAGGCACAACCTTAGAAACAGGTGTTGACACACACACACACTTATGGATACGCATACGGAACTGATAGCGGTGCCACACGCCAGCCTAAGTAAAAAGCCTAAGGAAAACAGGGTGGGTAAAATGAAGCGGTTCAAATCTCCACGAGGTCAAGGTCTCAGAATCTTCCAAAAGCTCCAAGGTTCCAAATTGTAGCCGCGAAACGATCGAGCGACAAGGACGACGGAACGTGCAGAGTCTGCGGATGAAGGACCGCTGCAAAGGCTGGATTCCTTGTTCTAGTTAGAAGCAGGGCCCAAGATGAAGTGTCTCAAGTAAAAACTGCAGGTACGTCACTGGACGTCTCCAGTGATATCAGTACCACCACAGAAGCCTCTTCGTTGGACTGTCACTTCTGTGGGGTAGACAGTCCCCTGCTGACTAAAACAATTCGAAAGAATCCCTGCGACTACAAGGGTTACACACACACCTCCCCGAGGGGAGGCGTAAAGCTAAGGCGAGGGCCAATGTGCACGCGCGCGCGCAAAAGACAAAAGGATGAAGACACGACAGGAGGACGAGACGGGACAAAGGCGCGTGTGGTTGAAGTGAGAGGGGAACCAAGTGCACAGGGACACCCGATGAAGCCCACCTCGTTGTAAAGACCTGGGCGACCTGCCTGAAACCTATGCTTAAAGGTATGTAAGGGTGCACGTACACACTAAGGCCGGGACCAATGCGCACGCAAACGAAGAAAAGGATGAGATGACCAGACATGAAGACAGGAGGACATGAAAGAAAAGAGGAAACAAAAGTGTGTGAAGGGGAAGGGAGGAAAGGGGAACCAAATGGAGGGGACGAAAACCGATGAGACCAAACCTCATTGCAAAGACCTGGGAGACCTGCCTCGTTTCGATGTACACGCTGTGTGTGCACCCAAGGTCGCGACAGGTTCCAATGAACCGTAAACTGGCTTTGACCGCTATGGTCACCTTGTGCCCTGCCGAAATGGCTGGCTGCTCTGACCGCTGCGGTCACGTAAAGGCATGAGCCAACTTGGAATTCCAAAGATGAGACAAACATCCCACTTCTTGAGGCATAAGCCATCTACTGTCCGCTGCGGACATCTGCGTTCCCGGAGCCGGGAACATGGACAAACCCCCGTTCAACGGGTCCACGGGAGGCGCGGGCTCATCCCGGGTTGGCACGAGGCCAAACACACTTATGGATACGCATACGGAACTGATAGCGGTGCCACACGCCAGCCTAAGTAAAAAGCCTAAGGAAAACAGGGTGGGTAAAATGAAGCGGGTCAAATCTCCACGAGGTCAAGGTCTCAGAATCTTCCAAAAGCTCCAAGGTTCCAAATTGTAACCGCGAAACGATCGAGCGACAAGGACGACGGAACGTGCAGAGTCTGCGGATGAAGAACCGTTGGAAAGGCTGGATTCCTTGTTCTAGTTAGAAGCAGGGCCCAAGATGAAGTGTCTCAGGTAAAAGCTGCAGGTACGTCGCTGGACGTCTCCAGTGATATCAGTACCACCACAGAAGCCTGTTCGTTGGGCTGTGGGGTTGACAGTCCCCCTGCTGACTAAAACAATTCGAAAGAATCCCTGTGACTACAAGGGTTACACACACACACACACACTCCCTTTCACACTACTTCACTGGCCATCAGAGGCGCGCATCTCCCTTTTCTGGAAGAGTTCTAACCACCTTTCGCGTCCCGTTGTCCCCTCTTTCCTATCATTGACATCAACTCCCACCCCTGGCAGAAAATTGTTTACATTGCCTCCTGAGCCTGTCGTGATGCTAATATGCACCGCTGGCCGTCAATTACATCACCGGCATCACAACACCCCCAAAACCTACTCATTTTCACTACCAAGTGGCCGGCCACCTCCCCCCACACACCCTGTTTAACTCACTTCGTTCGCTCCCCTACCTCAAGCCTTGCCTATCGGCTGGCTTTCGTGGTAAATAGATTAATAAGTAAACAAATACAGTAAATAGATAAATACCAAAATACTATATAAAATACTAACAAATGCCAGCAATGTGACGCGGTCAGGGTGACTGTCAAACACATGCCTGGGGGTTATTGTTCTTACTCATTATTGCTCTTAGTTGAAAACGGAGATGCCCACATGCATCCAAACGGTATGCCACCCATCTACACTCCCCACAAACAATAAGGAACATCCCATCACAGCCACTTGGTGGATGCACTTGCGCTTCGGCCAGCCACGGCGACATGTCGATTGTGCCAGCGCATTTCCTGTGAGAAAGCCTATGAACATAGCCAGGCGGTGATGGTGTTGAAGACGACGGTGATGATTACGATGGTGATGTGGATTGGTGATGATGGCGGTCAACTGTTGATGATAACCGTGTCGTCGTCATCATGTGCAAACTTCGCACAAATCATCCAACAGGTGTTTCCCGGGCACATGGGGCACGCAACCTCTCGCCCAGGACTCCAATCCCATAAGAAAACAACTTGATCAAAAAGGAGGGGTACGGTGTCGAGCATAAATGTGAAGAAACTTATGTTTGTCTCACAACCATTGCAATGTTTCGAAACAAGCCCATCTTTGACCAGTCCTGAACTCTTCTTGACGCCTTTGGAGGGTCCTACTGGCACAGCTCGCAGCGTGCAAATGGTTCCCCTTCTCACCAATCCCCATTTTGCAAGCAAAAATACTTGAATTGGCAAGCTACACCATGCTACTAGTAGGCCTTCAAACCAAGAATGCTACAAACAAGAAAGTGTTCTATCCCTGGACCTGACCCCACAATGGACCCAAAGAATCACCTTTCCTCAAAGTGTTCAGTGGCTGAAGTCAATCCCACGGACTGCTGAGACTGAAAGTTCCTGTCCTGCAGCTTTTGCTCCCTTAGCGCCTCCTGGCAGAAAAATTATCCAAATGCCCCCGACCAAGCTCATGTAATAGGTTGGAGGAAATCGCTGTGTTGGAGGCAATCGCTCTTAGGGTGGAGGCCATTGCTAGTAGGTTGGAGGCCATTGCTCCTAGGTAGTCTTGCTTTTGTAAGGCGCTTGGTGCTGAGAGGGTCTGATCTCCAACCGCAAAGCTGATTGGAGGATGAGCCGAAACCAGCTATACGTAGCTTAGTCTATTCTTAGAAGCCCAAATGAAGTTGGGATGCGAGCACGGTGAGAACTGCATGCCTTTCTTCAGTGGTTGGGGTGAGGTGAGAACTCAATCTGGCCTCTTTGTTTCTGTCACAGTCGCAGATAGAAAAAATTGATAACCATCCAGCCTGGTCTGAGGCGGGCACCGAACCTGCAAGACATCAAGTGAAATTTGATCATTTCAACCTGCCGTTGTGGTGAAAGGGGACTTGTTGGAAGAAGCAGAACCCAAAAATAGGTCACTAGGTGATAGAGATGATTGTCTAGTTGACTCCACATCCGTTCTTCACCAAACAAGATTGTGTCGAAAACTGAGAGCAAGACTGGTCTTCCAGCCCGTCAGTACCGTAGATCTCTGCCAAAACGTCCTGAGGCAAAAATAATGCATGTGGGGGGTTGAACTAGTTCAAGGTCTGAGCAAATGATTACTTCAGATATCCTGATTCCTGATGAAAAACAAATAAAAAGGAATACGTAAGGGCCCTCAAAAGGTAGAACTGTTGAGAGACGCATTGAACCACACACTGAGCGCCTTAACACCTCGCTTTGGATCTTGCTGCTCTGCCTTAAGCTTTGCTTCTTGCTCCTCTTTGAAGAGCTCTTCCCTTCGTAGCTGACCGTCGCCCAGAAATGAGCAAGAGACCCAGACATGGCCGTCTTCCAGTTGCCCAAATGCAAGTTATATCGTGATTATTTTTGCGCGGTTGAATCAATGAGTACAAAAAGCATTTGTACTTGTTTCTCGTTAGATATAAACTGCATAAAGATAATGGTGAATCAATATGCACTTTTGGAGGGTGGGGTTCGACAATATTACGGTTGCAACTTGTTTGCTGCTTTCGTATTCCACTGAAATGTGTACTAGAAAGGGAGACTATCAACCGTAACATGCCCTCTTCTGCCATTCTCGCAGCATGCTGTTAGTAGAAGAAAGATGCTGGTTGGAAGTTGTCGAGCAACAAGGACGCTGTAGAGACAGATAGACAACAAATTCTAAAAATGTATAATTCAAACTGATAAGAACTAGAAATTTAGAGTCTTAAGTCCAGTGGAACTAGGCATAAAGGTTTTTTAATTGTACATATATATATATATGACTATAATTTACCAGTGCAATCAACGGTTGATCGCGTCTTACTTTTTGGACTTGCTTCCTCCGTCCTGCGGTCAAAGTACAGCATCTTGCCAAGCATCCCTGGGTCACCTGCCTCCATCCATCCGGGTTTAGAGCTCTTCTGATCTTTTGATTTCTTATCCTGTCTTCCTGCGACACACAAAAAGAACAGAGGAAGCATCACATACAGAGAAACAACCGAAGCACAAATCAAATGAACAAAGGCGGAGCTTGCACAAGAAGAAGCTTAGAGACAGAGAGAGAGAGACATCATCAAAGACACACGAAGCAAAACTGCCTCCTCTTTGTCCCGGAGATACTTTTCATAGGTTTCCTGAAATCTTGGTTGTGGGTCAGTTTAGCTCAATGACTTCGGGGATGGGTAGGGGCAGTAGCGGGGAACTCACCCACATTCCTCCACAGTTCCGTTTGTCCTTGGCACTGAGAAGAGTGATCCCAAGAACCTTCAAGACCAGGTGACTCAAAACACTGGAGGAGTGCCGTCTAGCTCAGAATATTGAAGCGTTCCTTAATCCAAAATTACCAAGACAGTGGGACTTCTCCCAAGGAGTCCTGCTTTTTGAGTCACTTTGGCTCAGCCCGCAGCTATGATGGTGAATCCTGTTTCCAAATTCTGATTGGAGTCTGGGTCGAGCGTCATGAACCACCTCTGAAGGCGAATTTGGAAGCTCAGGCAAGAATCAGTCCAAATCTGTCAAAAGCAGCAAGCAGAATCAATCATGTCAAATACAGCTGCTCAAAATTCAGGAAGGGAGTTGCCTTGGGTCCGCGCTCAACCACACGGTCCAAAGGGTCAGGGTTGTAGTCATCCGTACTTAGTTCTGCTCCACTGCGAAATATATGCAAATAAATGTGCACATCCAAAAGAAGGCGTATTGTTGATAGTCAAAGTCCAATGGTCCAAGGCCATAGAGGGTGTTCCCATAAACTATGGAGGGTGCCTTGGGAACTTGCCCATCAACTCACCAACATCATGTGATAAGAAATCTAGGAAGAGCACAAACGTTGGAACGGCGGCAGTTCAGGAGCCTATACAGGTGGCGCAAACCATCACTGCACTGCGGCATCAAATTGCGTAACAACTCTTCCGCCTGGGCAGGCTCTGCATTGTGGGCCAGATTTCCTCTCAACGCCCTTCTGCGCCTGAGATTTGTTTGCAAAAACCCTTCGAATGATAACATTATAAAATGTGATAATCCATTCATGTGATAATCGTTCTGCCAAGATGCGCGGACGGGCCACTCTGCTTCCAAAAACCTGGGTGCTGAGAGTTGGTCTTCCAGGGTTCGTGCACCCATTGGGTGGCCACTGGGCGACCAATCGGCTATCGGTTCTCCATAGCAATCAAAGACCTCGCCTGTAAACAGGACACCCTGGGACATCCACAGTGTGACCTCAAAATGATTCGCAAGAACCATCACAGGAAACAAGAAACCTAGACAACCAGAGCCTGGAGAGCGGAGAGCAAAAACAAACTGAGAACCGATCCGTGGCCAGCAACGGCAAAGCGAGGCATCGACTCCTGACGGGTCAGAGTTTTGTGCATCGACTCCTCAGTTCTGTGGTGCGACGGCCTCCATCCTAGTAGCAATGGCCTCCAACCTAAAACGGCCCTACTAGGGATGGCCTCCAGCTAATCGCGATGGCCTCCATCCTAGTAGCGATGGCCTCC